AGTTGTCTAAGTTAGTCTAACTAAGGGATTTTTTCTTGAAAACCCTAAATTCCAATAATCAAAATAATTCCAATTTTAAATAATACACTGTTATATATTCAAAGTAAATTTTGTAATTTTTGATGAAAAAAATAAATTAAATTTGTCTAAGTTAAATCGGGTAGTAATTATCACTATTAGTTGTAACTTGGTCACCGACAATAGTCACCCTGACTTTCATGTACTGAATTAGCATGTTCGTAGTCCATGTTATCAGCAGGGCATAATATATCATTCACAGAAATGTTGTTCTATTACCTAATTTTTTCTCTGTCATCCGAAAGTTGTTCCAATTCTTCTCTTTATAATTAATTTATCCTTAAACTATAGAATCACTCAGTGTTTGTACGTTTGTTGACGCGAGCGACTTGGAGCAAAATCGTTACCGGATATTTAAAACGCTGACTAAAAGTCAAACCAATATAGTTAAAAAATCACATATCGGAAAAAGGAAGTGTTGTTCCGGTTTTACTATTCGTAAATAACGTAGTGCGACTGTAGACCTACTTTAAAATTCATTTTTTTTTCAAAATTATTGTGGCGGCGACCGACATCCCTGTATTTTTAAACTGATATTGTCATCATATAATTTTATCAAAGTAGGACTGAGATTTTTTTTTTACACATAAACGAGCCTCAGGGCCGAAGTAAAAGAGAGAGTGAAAGGTTCTTGTTTGGAGTTCACGCCATTTTTAGAGTATGTCTAGACTTTAAACCTTCTTGCCAAGGGACCGTCATGGCATCAATGTGACAGGATTTGGTTTTCCCCTCAAACCAGGGCCGTATATATATAGGTGGACCCTGCTCAAACCTAGGTACCACTCAGGGCGACTTCGATTCATACCCGAGTATTAACTCTTGGTTGACATCACATGACCGGATGTTTACACAAACATGTGGTTTTCAAGCGAACTCATATGAGTTTGAAGGGTAGCGAAAATAAAATAAATTTCCTCTATGAGTTTTAAAAGGCGGTTGAATCTATAGGTCCATTTTGACATCATCTGTTGAGTTAATTTTTTCTATAGCTTTTGCTGCAGTTGAAATGTTTTTCTTTTCAGCTCTGAACTTTGTTGGTTTCGAATTTGAATTTATGTCTCTGCTGTTATCGGGCAGTAAGCCTGAAAAATCTTATCAAATAAACATATATTCATATAAATTATAAAGCGTTCATGTAGAAAGTGCGTTTCGAAGTTTGCTTTTAAGGATAAGCGATGCTAAACATAATATTTAGTAAAAAATAATTCCTACGTTCGGGTTTTTCTTTCGACGACGCCATATCGAAACTCTAGTAATCCTATTGTATGGCTGGGTTAGCTTGGGTAGAGTTCATAAGGTCATATGACGTATTTTGAGTAGTAACTATGGTCGTTCGATTGAAACTCAAGTAACTCGAGTACGTACTCGGGTACGAATCGAAGTCGCCCTCACGGTATCAATGTAGCCGGATTTTGCTACATGGTATCAATGCCATTTAGAAAATTCCATGATACCAGTATAACGAAAATGAAGCATATAACGACTTATTGGTCATGTTGATAGAAATTTAGTGGCCTTTAAACAAACTTGCGACACGTTTTGTGGGGGAATCCATCACCCAACCCCCGATTCCAGCTTAAATCAGTATAAATTGATGGCACTTATCTCAAACAATATAAGATAATTCTGTTCTAAAATTTACCTTCTAGTCATTCTCTCACTCTGACAACATTATTACCAACTTTATTCGATTCAATTGCCAGTCATGGTGCATGTCAACAGACGCCATTATCCAGAGACTGAGTGATGTCAAACAAACTTCGAGCCCGACACAAATATGTATAACGTTAGACGAACAACAAATTGTGAAGTTTGTGAAAAAACTCAAAGTTTTCTCATAAAATTTGATTTTTTCCTCATCAGGCATGGCAACCAGCAGTAATATGTTGTAAACATGTCACACTCAGACTGTCTAGTAATAAGATCATAAGATGAAAAGACTAGGCCTAATTTAATTACTTAAAATAATTCAGTATCTATCCAGATAAATATTGCACACAGTACGAGGATAAGATGATCTCATTTCACCTGTTCATTGTTGTGCATGAACCATGTGAACGCCCTTAACATGAAGGCATCATGTTTTGTATGATGTTAAAATATAACCATTCAGAGATTGCCAAAGCTACTGTCCGAAAAATACACAGGTTCTATAGAAAGTTCCTCTTTCACTAAAATCATTAATTCGGCTCTAACTAATTTTTTTAAAACAAATTCTGTTTGACATTGACCATGATGTTCACAATTTATAATGCCTTGAAATATTTCCTCCATTTCTATTTCCTATGTCGTATTTGCACTTCACGAACAGAAAATTGCAAATTTAATTATTAAATTTGTAAGAATTTTCAGTGAATACAATAAAATGCAAGCAAAATATGAAAAAAAAACAACATACTTACAATTTTCCACTCAAACAGCGATGGTCATTCGGAAGTTGATTCAAACCATCGAAAAGAACCGAGGCTCATTTTCGGAAAAAAGCAGTACTCGCTGATGAAGATATGACACGGTAGTAAAAATATCATTTTTTAATCAAGCTTATTTTTTTAAAAAACACTCATAGCATTCGATTAAAAATGATAATAAATGAGTAATAAATTTTAAAAATATGAAACATACTCTTCAGAAATATGTTTTTTATTAAGTTGAAAAATGTCCACCTAAAGGATGAGATGTGTTTTGACAAATATATACATCAAACAACTTACATCACGTATCATTAAAAACTTTATTGAAAATTGAACACCCAAAGTACTTCTCTAAATAAGGCATGGTAAGTTGCTTCATTCATAAGACAATTAAAGTTAATTAATTATGAACACATCACTTTTTATTGCTTATAAAATAATGCAGACACATTTTTGTCTGCCTTATTTTTCACGTCTGCCTAAAGGTGATTATTATATACCCGATGTCCTCCCAATATTTATAACATATATGTATATATATATATATATATATATATACTAGAATAATCCTTTCCCGGAAAAGTGACATTTAAATATTAATCTTTATTTGTTGTTTTCTACAGTATATATGTCTAAATTTTTCAAATTTGTATTTTATACCTAATTTTTTTTATTTACAACTTTACAAATAAACCTACAAAGTTGACCAAAACACCATTTTGTCCATTAAACCGTTGATTTTTGCATGAATTTTGGCCTAGAAGTCCTTCAGAGCAGGCCTGCCCCTAAATAAAATTGTGATATTTTGATAGGTTTGGATGTAAGAAATAATTTAATATGGGATTTTTTTAGGGGCACCCCTGCCCTGAGGTCGAAATTAAAAAAAAAAAAAACCTACAAAAAATAAGGAAACCCGATTTTTAAAATCTGCTTCAAATTTATACCTTTCATTCTTATGGTCAGACTAGCTCACTTGATATATGCGCTGATTTTAACAACGTTGAAACTTTCTTTTTAAAGTCGGGGGATCGAATCCACCTGGTACCACACTTTTAAAAGTTTAAATTTCGCCTTTTCAAAGACTATTTTAATTTTTTTTATAGACTTTTAAAAGACTATTTTAAGGTTTTTTTTATAGACTTGTGTATTTCCTTCAATTATTTATCCTTTATGCATGCCCATTCTTGATATTAGAAACACTAAAGAGATATCAAATCGTAATAATCCAATGTACAGTTGTCAGTCAGGCGGAACAAACCTCATAAGCACACTTTCTCCGAGGACAAAAATAACTCAGTCTCACTCTGTGTATTCTTGGCAGGATGGAGCTGCGATGAATTTCAGTTGTATATATTCCTTAGAATTTAATAACATTATATTTGGCTACATATAACAATAACTCTACTCCCTTGGAGTTCATTTAGGCCAATATCATTTGCACACATTAATGACATGTTTTATTATATCCACGGATAAATAGCATAGACATAAAGAATAGAATATCAGAGACAGTAGACATTACCATTATGCACAATGAGAAGTAAAGACAAATATCAATTAGTACATTTGGAGATAATAAACTCATAAAATCAATGAAAGCCCTTAGGGTTACTCCTACCTCTACTCACTGAAATAAATATTTGGGAAAAACAAATTGTTATATGTATTCAGCCTAATGTCATTAATCAGAACGGAAATCGACTTGCTTTTTGCAGAGAAAAAAACCAAGCCCGGTCCTAAAGGTCAGATTCCTATAAATAATGAAGTGTTCCTTTATTCAATAAGTATGCATGGATTTTTCAGCGAAAAAGATTTTGTGTCTTTATTATTTTTATTATCTAACTGATCTTTGCACCTGTAAAAGATGTGTATGATTCTCGAATGGTGGCACTTCCCAAATGGTCTGCGATGTAGACAATATCGCCCTTCTCAATCTGTAGTGTGGCGGAGTTGCTACAAGTTATCCATTTACATCCCCCTCCACTGCTGTTGCATGCCTGCCAGCTTTTCGCTTTCCCATTTACAAAGAGAGCAGCATGAGATGCTTCATTAGGATTGCTCAGTGTTTCGTAAGAGAATATGTATATCCCTCCTTCGGGTGCTATGAATTTTCCAGTCTCTGCGTTGTAGCCTTTCATTACATTCGTAATGACCTTGTCGTAGACCCAGACTACTCCTTTCGCATATGATTTTACTGAACCCATATAGGCATGGAATGCTACAGGATCTGCAAATAATTAGAGAAAAAAAAATTTCTGAATTGCAGACCATCCTTCGCGTATGAAATTTTCAAGAGGTAAAATGTATAACGACATATACTTAAGGTTAATTCAATCATATTTTCAAATTCAACGCAAACATTTTCATTTACTTAAAAAATGCTTCATGTACATGATAAGAAGAATATGCACCGAAGAAAAAAAAATATCTTCCTCACACGGTACAAAGTTTGGTTGTTTACGGAACGCTTAATGTTCAAATTGTTTTCATGCAAGCTGCGTTATGAAACTAATGTAACATAAAATTTAAGAGAATCAAAGGGAATTTCAATAACTATAAGTTTTTTTATTAATTGATTGATTGTACATTGTTAAACGTCCCTCTCGAGAATTTTTCACTCATATAAAGACGCCACCTCTTGCCGGTGGAGAGCTGCAAATTTTGTCCTATACTCGGCACTCGGGCCATTGAGCAGGGAGGAACTTCTACGTGCTAGCGCGCCTACTGCGACACGGGACATCGGTTTATACGGTCTCATCCGAAGGACCGGTCTCCACGTTCCACAGTGGGATTCTTTGATTGAAGGGCTATGAACGTAATGATTCTTTTATGATTTCATATATAAATTAACACTTTTATAAAGAAATGGTAAAATAATATATCTCTGTTTCACCTAGATTTAACAAAAATTGTACAAAATTCGATTTCTTTGACGAAAGGGTATATGAAAACGCACATTTTGAAAACAAAAGGGTTTGTGCGTTGGCATATTCTTCATTCAAGATATTTTAAATTTCTATAGAAACCAACCATGGTTTTAATATCTTACCATTATTTCTGCTGCACTGACTTTCATCTACAATCAGTCTTACCGATTTCTGTAAGGTATCAAACTGGTCATCCAAAAATTTCCTGGTTAGATTTCTACAATCTCCATCGACTACAACCACGTGAAATATCAACCATGAGATAATACTTATCTGAAAATGCTTTTAGCGCAAAAAAAAAATACTTAGGTTAGATTTCCAGTATAAATAATAATAATTATGAAACTTTAATTAAAGAGGGTAACCTCGTTAGTGAATCCACCACTCTTCCCCAGGGCCTTCTATATATATCAATTACAAAAATATACAAGATACAATTCAAGATATATAACAGTAATAGGCTTAAGGAATAACAATAACAAAATTATGAATAGAGTGTCCATGTACGGATAATTAAAAATCACAAACATTGTAGATACAAAATCAAATCTTATTGTGCTCAAATAATTGTGCCACAGCTGATAATGTAATTTTTCTTAATTACACCCAAGGGGACCGACTGTAGTTTTCATTGCGCAATATTTCGCGCATCATAGTAAAACGACGCGTATTTAATGTTTTAAAGCAACTTTTTTAAACTTGATTAATAAAATTAAACAAAATTAAGAAGTTACAGGTTTAAAAATGTAATTAAAATTTTATACAACTGAATTTTTAATTGATTTTGTAACTGATAGGTAGGTTGACGTCAATATAGTGTGTTTTTGGCGTTATGATAAACTGAAGCTCTCAAAGAAAGGGGTAATAAAAATGTTATAAAATAAAAAGTAATAAACATACGCACTTGAAATTTAAAACCTAGAAATTTGAGAATCTTTCCATTATTCTTATCATTTTGTCATATAATACCTCTGTGTCAGTCATTTTTTGTAGAACTCTTCGTTAATTTTGGGACTTTTGAGATGTCCCCTCTGGTAACAAGACGGTAGAATTTTGTGTTTCTTACACATAATATACAATATAGTATTACTCATCATATATTATAGTTTGAATAAAAACTCTATTGTAGTATTTGTAAAATTTGCTTTAAAGTGCTAAGATTGGCACTCTCCTATATAATCCTATAGTAAACGTACCTATATTTTGAGACTGTCCCCTTAAAAATACTGGACGGTAGATTTCGCCCAAACTTTGAAGAGTTGCGCTATTGTAGTTTCCACACAATAAAACCACACTCGGCCCCTTTAAATGCGCGTAGAGATTTAAAAAGTCTAATGTGTTGGGGAAGATTATTCTTATTAATACTTTTAGTAAAAAGAGGTCTACAGTAAGTTTGTACGAAATTTTGTTAATCTGAGATCAAAATTAGTTTCAGATTGCAGATTATAAAAAGTTTAGGAGTGATTGATTATATACTGTTTAACGTCCGTCTTGAGAATTTTTCACTCATATGGAGACTCCACCAAATGCCGGTGGAGAGCTACAAATTTTGTCCTATACGCTGTACTTAGGGCCATTGAGCAGTGAGGGGTCTTTTTCGTGTCAGCACCTACTACGACACAGGACCTCGGTTTATAAGGTCTCCTCCTAAGGACCTGTCTGCACGTCCCACAGTTGGATTCGAACTTGCGACCAAGGATTTAACGCCTTCGCGACTCTAGAGCAGACGCTCTAACCATTGCGCCATACGGAAGACAAGTAGAGGAGTGGAATTCAAATAAATTACATTATGTTTCAATGTTTTAGCATATAAAAGTTTTCTTCATTCTCGGTGAAACTCTAGTCAATATATAAATTAGAACTTAACTGACAACTTATTCAATCGGTCAGCTGTACTATATATTAGAAATCCTATTCAAATCATGCATAGATTAGCAATGAAATTTGATAAAATTAGGGTTCATTTTAAAAACTATTGGATATCATTTTCTTCAAGTTCTATTTCAAAAGAAAGCAGACTCAAAAAGGAAATGGAATTCATACCGTAAAATGCTTAAGGAACAAAGCCTGTCAAAATTTATGTTGAATGTCACTGTTGAATACATTATAAATGGGCTACCTGGCATTTTATCAATACTTTATTATAACACTCCCCCCCCCCCCCTCCGCTTGAAAAGTAAGAGGGTATATAGCGATTGGGCATCTGTCCAAACGTCCGTCCGTCTGTTACAGTGTGTGGTACCCATTTCCTATCCGCAACACCTCTTACACCACTGAATGAAATTTAAAGATACTTTCACAGAATCTTTGTTACATAGTGCCATTCTACACCTTCTATATTACTTTTATTCCCACACATATTTTGGGTTTCCCACAGCAAACCATAGGCACTGCCTTTCTTTCTATTATATTGAAGGGCACCCATCCCTTCTCCGCAATTCCTCCTATACCACTGAATAAAATTTAATGATAATTTCGGAGAATCTTTATTACATAATCATGCCATTGTGCACCTCCTATTTTACTTTTTGATCTGACACATATTTTCGGTCTCTCAGAGCAAAATATGAACTTCCATTATAATCATATGGGAGGCGGGGGTATCATGTATTGAGCTCAATGCTCAAAGTACCTCTAGTTTGATTAAATAACTTCAATGAATGCATTGAATATTCGTAATTATTTTAAGCCTTTTAAGAACATATTGTGATGTGCAATATAATGAATTTCTTACCATTTTCCTGTTGCTCAACCCTTGAATTTGGTGAAGATTTCACTCGTTTATATAGATAGCTATGATCAGTTGAACAAACTAAATCAGTCATATACATGATTTATGTGTTTACTGCTAATACTTCACCATCTGGGATAAAGGATGATGTGGCATTCGGCCCCCAGTAAATTGACTAAAAATTAAATGTGTAAATTTTATTCTAATTTTTGCATGCACGTAATCACTGATATGTGTACATTAATGTAATTCTACTTTTACCCAAAAATAGATACGTAGATTGGAAGATATAGATCTTTAATTTGGAGTAGGGGTACCATGTTCACATCTAATTCCAACTGAATTTTGGTCCCACCCCACTCCTTGAAATACATTAGCGCAAAGAGGTGCATTTTTCTCCTATGGCTGGTCACTGTTTTTTTATGGAAGTCGACCTATTTGTGAAAGGAGAAGATTGTACTAAATAATTGCGCGCATATGTTATGTTTCGTTTACAAAATCTAGCTGGCCTTTCCCATAACGAACAGAGCTTTTCTGACGTGAGAATAAATGCATACAAATCGTCGCACAGGCGTGACTTTCTTATTAGCTGAGTTGGAGTACTACAAAAAAAAATACTATGAGTTGTTTAATTTTGGAAAAAGGCATTCTTTTACTTGCTTTCCTATAGACAACTTCATATGTATTTTTATCACAGAGTAAATGCAAATCTACATTTTACAACAATTTAAGGCTTTTGTTGACCATTTAAAGTTTGATTGTAGTAAAAATCACGTGTCAGTGAAAAATATAAGCATCTAGTAAATCAGCGTTTGGTTATTCAGTCGTCGTATTGGACATTTTTTCTCTGTAAGCGACTATGTACGAAATAATAACAATAGCACTATGAGGTAGACCCCCCTATGGTTCTAAGACCCGTCTATCATATTTATTTGCATTCATAAAAGAACATACGGTCACAAACCAGGCCCATTTTTTTTTCCATCACAGGGTCTATAGTTTCAAAGATAATGCAGTTTCTTCAAAATTATAAACGATACGAACTATCGACACTATTCATCATGTCTCATTTTCAGCCACTTGTTTGAAAGTAACAATATTGATAGTAGATTTTTTTTATACTTCGTCGTAGAAAAAAGGGCCCAAGACCATAGTTTGGTCAACTGATCCCTTTCAAACAAATATATAGCCTCTCCTGTTTCGAAAAAGATATGATTCAGTGGCTCTAAAATATACATTGCACACTTGTTACGTCCTGGTCAAGTTTTATCCGTACAGACAAAATGATTACCAAACAAAACAAGAGGCCCACGGGCCTTATAGGTCACCTGATTATCATGTGACAACTTTCCAGCGATTGTTTTTGATTCGTGTTTTAATCCAAAAGCATGAAATTCACAAATTTTGAAGGAGGCACCATTTCTTAGCAAAGAGCAGATTTCAAGGCATTAATTTATTTTTAGAGAAAGTAACCCCCCCCCGTACCCTTGACCCAGGGGCCCTGATATTATCCATTTTGAAACAGGCACTTTTCTTCATCATAAGGCCTGCATTTTTTTAATTTTTGGTTTAGTTACGAACATCAGAATGAAAAAGTCCCGAAGGAGAAGGAAATGAAAAAAAAATTTTTTTTGGATAAATCAATTATCAACATTTGTACATTTGTACATTGTCATATGCTTCTTTTTTATGCTATCCTAAGAGGCTCCTGGCCACTGGACAAATAGGAAAGTATCTAACATTTAATTGCTTATTTTATCTGCCAGTTTGGGCAAGTGATATAAATTTATGATGTTGATCAAAATATATTTTAAAAATCAATTCATTAAACTCTTTCAATATATCATTTTTTAATATGTGTTATGTAAATGTGTAGTCATTGTTCTTGATGCCTAAAATTATAATTCCTAATATCATAAAACAGACAGAGAGTATTGGGAGTAGGGTGAACATTTTCTCAATTTAGTGTAAAATAATTTTTCTGGCTGCCACAAACGATACTATTTGTGTATACTTGCTTTTGATAGTTGAATTTTTTTGTTTATTTCTTCAGGCTATATTGTTTATTTTTTCCTCAAATGGACTTAACTTCTCCCATAAGTAGTATAAGCGGCCTGGTTGGGTGGGTCAACTGAGTGCACTTTTGGGGCTGGGGGGGGGGGGATAGGTGGGTCAACGGAGTGCAGTCCCCCCTGGGGGGATAGCCGGGTCAAGGGAGTGCAGGTTAGGGGGTCTGTGGGGGATAGCTGGGTCAATTCATTACATATACCCCCTAAATACGGGGGTGTGTTTACACTGTGTTTACATTATACTATATTCGCTGCTACTACGATTCACAACGCTGCTACTACGATTTTGGCAGCGATTCAAGAATGTCATTATGACGTCACTCATTCACTGATTTTCCGAAAACGGAAAAAAAACAATAACACACAATAGAAACAAGAACACAGATTTTATTCAAGTAAAAAAATACAACCATTTACTTTTTCTTCTTCTTCTGTGCCTTTTCAGGGATCTGTAATCAATCACTTGTTACACCCCAAATTTGACAATAAATATTGAAGACAGTCTTAAAAGGCATACGAGCATTCAGGTAGTAGTCATAACTGGCTGGAAGTTTTCTCTTTACCAGGTCCACGAACAAATCTTGAAGACAGTCTTCTGAATTTCTGTACCAGATACTTCTATCCAGAATACCGTGAT